AAGCTACGTCGCACGAGATTCCTCCGCATATACGATTCTTGCAATTGAACACTGATGTCGTATTCTCGATTCCTCAGCTGAACTTCAGATTGTCCAGATTGTGCAACACGCAAATGAAATCATATTATAAAGGGTTATTCCAAAATCTTAAAAGTAATTAAACGTCGTCGTCGCGGGCGTATGAATATTTTCAAATTTTATACAGATATTCCCCGTACTCACATGGAAGGGTGTATCCAAATGTGCGAGTCTCATTAACTGCATTTATCATTTTTCGACGTTTCGCTTTTTTGTTATGAATGCGTAGTCATAAACATTTCAAAAAGTTACGCAAATACAGGCATTATTTTGTTCCATTCTTTTCAATATTTTGTTGCAGATCCGTGAGCACATTTTATCTTATATTACCGCTGCGCCGATGTAGAAAGCTGTAGGCAACCTGCTGATACGCGAGAAGTTATAACGTTACATGGAAGGTAAGTTATAGCTTTGTAGTGCGCATATCCTCACTATTGGTGTGGGCGCCTGTGAAAATCATTTTCTGCATTCTCCTTGCATTAAATTGAAAGTAATGATTATGTAATAAAATAGTTCAACACTTTAGGTCAATTTTTGTTTGCATTGTTTTTGTGTTGCACAAACGATTACACGCGAATTGCTTCACTCAAATTTCTTGCAGGACTAAATACGACTAAATTCGAGTTGCATAAATTAACTTGATTCAACAAACATTAGTTATCACAAAATGTTTTCAAATTTTCAGTGTGCAAACAGGTTTACTTATTTTGTGATGAACTTTCTCCTGAACTGGGAGCATCCTCGTCACGGAATATTTTTGTAATTTAAAACAGTCCAATATTTTAAATTGGATCCTTATAAATGCCAATACCAAACGGTTCTTGTTAAAAACAAAAATGGCGCCTTATTCCTAATCCAGTTGCCCACGATTATTATAGTTATTAGTTCGGCAGATAAGGGGCCTTTTTGGGCCCAGCCTTGTTTTCAGACATAAAGTTCTTTTTTAATCGTGATTATTCATCTTGGGGTCTTTGCCCATCATTTCTACATGGGTGTGGAGTTTGCAGCCTTGAGCAATTTTTCTACGGCTTGATATTTGTATTAGTGTTTGTCGTCAAATCTGTGCACCATATTGGCGCACAACCTCAATCTAACTTGTTACAATACTATGTTCAGATTGTGCGCCATCTTGTTGCACAAACTACGGAAGCACCAAATTTACTAGGAAATAAAATCAATAACTTCTAGGTATTTGTTGAACCCAGCTTTGGGTCGCGACCCATATTTATGGAAATACTGTTGAAACATACGCGTAAAATAAAGAGTACTATTTCAAAATACCCGCTTTTGTTGCAATTAACAATACAAGCCTGGTAATGCAGTCGGCAGAGGTTCAAGTGGATATACACCCGGTTGAGAACAGTCAATTATTTGTTAGCAAGGATTATGCAGCGGGATGATCACAACGATGCAGTGAAAGATAATGCTATCACGAGAACAAGAATGAGAAAATTGCTACATTTTATAGTATATCCCTGGGAAAGAATGTAGTTCATTCTCATGTTCTATGCCAATGCTTTTCAAACTACCAAAGACTTAACACTTTTGCTTCTTCTCTTCTATAAAAATACATTGTTATTATATATTCGCATTTCCATCTGTTTGTTTGTGCTCCCAGATAACCGATCAGTGGCCTTCAAAGAGACCGGGGTTCCCTTTTATGAAACCCTATCACAAACTAAAAGAGGCGACCGTGCTTCTTTTGCCTGTTGTCATGCTGTCCCTCGAATTCAGCTACAAAAAAAATTCACGAAAACGGGTTTTAGATTTTATGATTTCCTTAATATTCTCGACAATGAATGATATACGGGTGGTAAAATGCCAAGGTATTCCAACAACATGATCATGTTTTGCAACTTACAACCAATATTTTGTATGTAACTTTGTTTGACAAAGCCCCAAGAGATCTAACTACAAATATCAAGAATGTGAGGCCAAAAAGTTACACTACAACATCGTCAAATGTGATAGATAACAAGTTTACCAAAATGCATTAGATGAAAAATGGTAAAAATGAAAATCAATTTAGCAATATCTACTTAGGACTTGGTGATATGCATCTGTTGATGATTTTATGTGTTTGTTTCGGAAGTTTAATGACAGAATTAATTGTGGTTGTTGGGGATGTTTCAAAAAAAGGTTGGAAGGAAAAAAGTTTTCACAAAATGTCAAGGTTTGAGAGTAGTAGAGAAGTAGAAAAATACTCCCATGTTATCTTCATTTGATAGCCACGCCATAGAACTTCTCCGATAAATATACGCAGCAATTGCGAGAGGCAGAAATGCCAAGATGGGATTTTATCGCATTGCAAACCAATATTAGCGATTCTTAGATATAGTTGCGCATGAACAGCGTGAAAAAGATTATACCTATCTACACACTTGAAAAACTATGTTAGATGAGCGTCATATTATCGAATATCAGTAAAGGAATAGTGCAATGGGAAAAGACATATAAGGCCTAACTTACAGTAATATGCATCCAAATAATCCTATTGTAGCATATATATATTTAAAAACATTTCCTCGCGCCAACCGCAGTCCGAAACTTTTTGTCTCTGACTGAGCTTAGATACCAATTGGCACTCATGTAATCTGGTAACAGGGATTTAAAACATGTGCGCAAAAATGTGCCCGTTACTACGTACAACCGAAGCACGCAGGAAAATGTGTGGGATGTACTAGCGATCAAAATGTTTGACTCAACTATGTTGGCATAACAGGTGCGCATCTCGGTTTCGCATACGCATACCTTCTATCTCCACGAGGATATATTAATTTGGCCAAAGTCAATGCTGTACCTGACAGGTTCCGGTTCGTCCAAAAGAAAACACGTTACACATCGTTAGATACTAGTGGGTGGTTTTACATGGCTTTGTTCGGAGTGAAAGACAAGGTCAAATATTCTAATCCATTTCAACTAATAAAATATTTCCCAAGTCCATAAGCTTCAAGCAGAAAAACGAAATGCCCGCGGCAACAAAAATGTAGTTTGAAGAGCGCAAAAGAAAGTGGCTAGGTGCTGTCGATGGATCTTGGCTTATATTGGTGAAATAAACTACTATTTATTTTACTAAAATTAAATTTCTGACATTGTAAGGAGATTCAATGTTACTATGTATTCAACACTAACCCATGTAGTTATGAAATAATTGTTTTTAACAAAAAGGTGCTACAGAAGCATTCGTACAAAGATGGCGCACAGCCTGAACATTGTATGTGTACCAGGTTAGGGTTCAGGATCGCGCCATCTTGGTACGAATACTTGAAATCCACTTAGAAAAAATTAGTCAACATTATATACCCCACACCCACCTGACCCACCCCACCTAAAAATATAACTGTTATATGATGTCCTAAAATGATTGATAACCAACCGCCGAAATGGCTAATTTTAAATGTATAAATTTGGATATTGTAATTAGATGGAATGATATTTTGATCTTTTGGATATTAAATAACACGGAGTATATAGAGGGCTGCTGAATAAGTTGGTTTAAACCAATACACACCATATCTTTTATATAAGTCGACACATTCTGTTATATGAAAATGAACATGTGATTTCACATGAATATTTTTCCAGTTTCCGGATATCGGGGATTAATTTCAACATTCTTCTATAATCCGGAGCAAATATTTTTTAATTGGAAAGACCTGCGGATGCCAATGTTTCCGGAATAAAAATTTTGTTACCTGAATATTTGACTGGCTCGTAGTATGGAGCCAGAGTTGATAAATTATCTTCTGGATCTGTAACCCGAAGACGCGAGAAATATAGTAGGACATATATGTGACGTAATGTGATTACTCAAATGATGAGTAGCGCGACAACTGTTAATTGTTGCTAACAACAGTTAATTGTTGCTATCCGTCTTGTTCGCCGGTCGTGTTAACTTGTAGATTTTTGTTTATGATGACTGTTTAGGTTGTATTTGTCAAGTCGTGCCGCTGTTCTCAATAAACGGAGTTCCGTTGTGTGCGAGTTTCTATTCTCAGCAGATAGCAATTGAGCAACGAAACATGGTGTCAGAAATGGTTCTATTCTTTGCGAAATAGCGAGAATACGAATTACGCCTACATAAAATTGCTCATTTGCAGACTTCAGAAAGGAAATGAATCCTCCTACCCCATCGCCATTGAATGGTAAAAGTGGCAGTTTATCTCAAAATTGGAAGATATTTAAAAGGGCATGGGACTTCTATGAAATTGCCTGCAAGTTAGATATAGAGTTCAATAGTCTGCGCACTTCAACTGTAGTGACTATAATTGGCGCTGATGCGGTTGAGATATATGATGAGATTTAATTGAGATTTAATTCTGAAGGAGACAAGAAAGATATCAATAAGGTTCTAGGAAAACTTGAAACTATTCTGTGTTGGCGAAATAAATGAAAGCTACGAATAATAAATTTCAATCATACTGAGCAATTGTCTGGTGAACATTTTGACACATTCTTGTCAAGTCTGAGATCTTTGGCAAAAAACCCGCAATTCGGAGATTGGAAGATAGTCTGATACAGAGGCCCAAATATTTGATGGAGTACCCGATAATGACCTTCGACGAAGATTGTTACGTTACAAGAACGAATATTGAAGCCTGCGATTGGAAGTGCTTAATGGGAGTAACTCAATATTCGCGAGTGTAAATTTGTGGTAGAAAGCACATTTATGTTAGAAATTAATTGCCCGGCGTTATAGGACATATATATATAAGTTTAAGCCATTTAACATAGATTTTCACGTTATCGGTCAGAGCGTGATACCGATGACTGATGATAGTCAAATGATATCGGTATTTATTTATATTGTAACAAAACACAACAGGAGGGATTTCAGTAATATACTCATTCGCTGCAATAATTGTTTTGTTTACTGAACCATTCATTAGTCGAAATTCATTAGGCTAAATATAGAAAATGATAATATTATATCTAAATTTTATTTTTAGCAATTCTTATAAAATACCGCAAATTATATAATAATTTTCTTGCGGGCATCTTTAGTCTTGAGAAAATGAATGTTCAAGATTACTTGTAGTATTTATTCATATTGGCGCTTACACAACGAAGTTTGTGTTCTCTCTTTCGTAAACGGGATTGAAAAGATGACAATGGAGTTGAACATCCGAATGAAGAAATTTTTTTTTATCAAAGCCCCAAGTGTTATTGCCTCCGAAATATTGTCACGCTCACGCGGGCATTTGGCAGACTGCCATACGTAAGTATGAATAATTTTCTATCACCGAATGTGAATACCAAGAAAGTAAAAATCAATAGCTTAAGAGTTATTCTGACGTTTGACACCCACATGTTCGAGATGGTATTGAAACCCTAATTGATGAATTGTTTCCTTTTGCAAATAACACTCCTAAGAAACGAGGCATTGATAGAATTGCCTATAATTAATAAAATTTAAAACTGTAAAAATGGGATTTTATTGTATGTATATTTTACATACTACATCTGTTGTATTTTAAGTGCGTTCATATCCAACTGATCACCACAAGGATTGTAGACGCGTATGAATTCTTTTCTCTGTGAATATCAGCTTCTATTGATTGAAGACGATAATCAGCCTTGTCCATATCCCGCTTACGGCAAAGTTGGAAAATAAAGTTAAAATGAATCGGTGTAATTTCTTCGACTATACAAAGATTAAGTATTGTTGAAAGTGGTAGTGGTTTGCATTGAACTGGCAAATCGAAATCACCTGATTATTTTACAGATTTATGATTTACTTGTTGGAGTTAAAACATTTTCCGTTTTCTTGTAACGATCATATATTTGATAATATTACTTTGGTAAAGATTGTGAATCAAATATAACTCAGTATAGAAATATTGAGATATATAAAACTATAACTGTTTATAAATGATACTGATTTTTTCGAATATTTACATTATTCTTTATTTCAAAAAGTATCGTGTAACCTACCGCTTTATATGGCGAACCCAACATTGAATTTTTTTATCGTGATTTTGAGCTTTAGTGTGCTGATATCGATATGTTTTAACTGATTCGGACTCGTTTTCCACTCTTCGTTAACATATTACATTATATCACGAAAATACGTAATGAAGAGGAAAACGAGAACAGATTATAATAAGAATTATTTATTCGAACAATCAATCACCTGTATTCACAGTGGCCACATTAAATTTTTTTGTCACTAAGTTATCACAATAGTATGTACTGTGTTTGGTTTTCATTTGAAAATGCTATTTAAGATTGATTAATTAAGATTGTTTAATAATATCTTTCCTGAAAATTTTTGTGTTTCGATTAAGTTTGAATCGGCGTTTGACTTTTCTAAAAGTGCAGTGTGAGCCCTTTGCAATCATGTTTTCTTGATTTGTGACGGAAATAGCCTGGTATGCGTTCTATTCAACTAGGAAATAGTAGTAAGGTACGTAGCCTCGTTTTGAAGTGCGGCTTACCCAAATTATTTTATGGCTAGACAAGGTAGAAATTATAACCGCTATTTTACGGGAGCAATACTCGCTCACCTTTCATTAAATTGAAAGTAATGATACCGATCACAGGACCTCGTTCCCAAATCGGCATCGTGGTTTGGTATATGTCAAAAGTAAAATTGTTCTGCGGATCGCACGAAATATGTCCGCGGGGCGCATGCGGCCCGTGTGCGAGTGTTTGGACCACCCTGCCATATGACATGGGAGAAATTTGAATAATAACAAAAGGTATACCAATATTAGCAGTCTGGCAGCCGACCAGTTCCATCTATAAGTAAATACAGAAAATAAAAATCCAAATTGGCCCATCAAATATGCCTTATAAGTAACATACCACATAACAAAGACAATTTAGCAAAACGATGTATATATATATATATATATATATATGGCTATTTGGCAGCATATTTTTATGCAGTTGGAAGTTACCTTCAAATGTCGCGGTGAAAGATTGCCATTCGCGACAAATAAAAAAAATTGAAGTTGGAGGCTTGAAATTTGATTTGCATTCACAGTTATAAACAGGAATAACACTATTCGCTTATGACTATTTTCACAGGTGGGGCCATTGGCGATGACTTAGAAATAAACATATTTCAACAGCAAATCACGACCACGTCATCATTTCGTGTTGTTTGTACCAAGGGAAGGCGTACTCTACTTGTGTACGATCATTTTGTTCGGGACAAGTTTCACGTAGGAAACAATAAGGCTTTGATTGTCCACATTATTAGTAATAATTTATTACATCGGACCTTGTGATTTATTGCTGGTTTCCAAATTGCGGAGTCGTGAATTTGCTGCGCCTTTCCGGTCAAATAAAATGTTTCATGCAATACTTCGTTGTTAATAGAATTCATGATGCTAATGAACAACTGTACTTTTGTTTGGAATGAATCTCAATAGTGTCGTGCTACAAAAGCTGGACGCCGTACTTCGCTGTCTCAACTTAGTTGGAGTTACGAGTCAGTACTGACGTACCTGAAGCTTCAAGGATTTATCTTGGCTGAGATCAGGCATCAGATAAAAAAAATCGTGGTCTTTTTGATTATTTAATGCTTATTTCTAATCTACAGGGCGCTAACTGTCCCGTTGAGTTAGAGCTTAACAATTCTTGCTGATATTGGAGTTAATATTGACTTTCAGCCTTTCATAATCCGGAGCAAATATTTTTTATTTGAAAAAGACCGGTGAGTGCCAATGTTTCCAGAGTTAGAAATTTTGTTGCCTGAATATTTACCTGGCTCATAAGGTGGGGTCAGAGTTGATTTGTTAAATATATCGGTTTCCACATCAATTTTCTTGCGGCTCTTCAACCCGATGAAATAAGAAAGAATAAAAGACATATATATATTTCATGTTTAAGCTATTAAATACAGACCATTCACGTCATCGGTCAGGGCGTGATACGGATGACTGATGATAGCCAATTGATATCGGTATCTATTAGTGGAACAAACCACAACAGTAGAGACTTTAGCATATAAATATCCATTCCGACCTACTAGATAACTAGAACGATGATTTTTGTTCCCAGTGTAGTAAGCTCATACGTAACCAGAAACAATATTTTTTACCGATGGCTGCGATAATTAATTGTTTTGTTTGATAAACCTAAGTCCAATTAGCAGCCTCAAAAATAGAAAAAAGTAACATCATATCAAAACTTATATTTTCAGCATTCATCTCAAATAACCGCAAGGTATTAAATATATTTCTTGCTGACATTTTCGTCTAAGAAAATGAATATTCAATATTACGTTGTAGTATTCTTTGTATTGGCACTTACGCAACGAAGTTTGTGTGCTGTCTCCGTTAAACCGGATTGCAAAGACGACTATGGGTTGAACATCCGAGTGGAGAAATGTTTTTTTTATAATTGTCACAAGTGTTATTGCTCCGAAATATACGAAGACATGCATTTCGCGGAGTGCAGATCGTAAGTATGCTTCATTTTGTTATTGCACCGAATGTGCACAAAGATGGTAGGAAGAAACAAATATTTTTAGCACCCTATCATCACCTATGATTGTGTTTCATTTTTTAACATTGGGCGGAACATGAAGGACTGAATATGCAAAATGGTTATTAGCTATTCTGTAATGGGCCTCGTAAAAACTAGTACAACAATTTTTTTTTAATATAATGATTTCGTATGTAAATTGGGTGGAATTACATTTCCCTCTAAAACGAAAATATTCTTACCACGGCCCGGCTGGAAAAATTTGCAAAACACGGATAAGTGGAGTTTAGCGCGAATTTTTTCTTAAAACAACTGTTAAAATTGTATTTGTCAACGTCAACAATAATAGATGAGCGATATAGAGCATACAGAGATATAATCGATTATAGAGCAACAATTGATAGAATTAGATAAATTTTTTTTATCGGTAATTGAAGTACAAACACAACCTGCATGCCTTCTCTATGCTGTTTGGCAACCATGCCAACATTTTCTACTGTACGTTACCTTTGCTGAAACTTGGCGAACACTAGAAAACGGTGGGATTTGGGAAGCGCTTAATCGCGTCTCTGGCAAAACTCTCATAGGCGGCCTGTCGCTGCAGATGTACCTTTTATTCATAATAACATGTTAATGAGCTCGTATGGGGTGGAAAAGTTGTCAAATACAACAAAAAGTGGTTCAAATTCATCTACTTCGATGCCTACGCAGAGCGTTATTACAACTCTTGTTCCCAAAGGATCATTTAAAGTTATACCGAAGGTCACGCTTTGCCAGTATAAATTTCAAATTGCGACATATAACCGGTAACTGGATCAGCTCCAACCCACACTTTGTTTCCTCTTTTGATAGTTTTTTTTCTTTCAGCATAATTATATTGATTCATGAAAGATCTCGCTCTATACGATATCATCTACTAATCAACAGACTGACATTCGGAGTGTTTATATTCATTTCGAAATTGGCTATTGGGAAAATCTACTAACGGCCTAACTTTGTGTAATTTGTCGTGCCAATGCTCCCCGTGACGTATAGCCAAGACCGTATCATACCTTTCAGGGGCCATGATAATACACTTTGATGCCCTATATGAAAATAGCAATAATAATGTAACTAGTGTTTCATGTTATCTGAAATTTGATGAGTAAGTTTCAGTATGGATGTTTTCACGAAATTCGATTTCTTTGCTTATTTCAATAACAATGACCAAAAAAGCAATTGTAGTTTGTGCAACCCATCAGACAGATACCCAAGCATCGTAAACATTGCCTTTGTTGTTTTGCTTGTAATTGTCAGTTTCAATTGTGTTTTCAAAGACTAGTTGAAATCAAATAACTCAGATGTCATTATGTCTTCCGAGTAGCTTTAGTTTAGTTGCGATATTCAAAGAGCATCCCGCAAACTCCGCGACAGCCCAATCTGTGATCAGCACGTGGTCAAATAGTTTTAATGAATATGATGATTTTGAATATGTAAACCAGATTGTAAGTGCCAACTCTCAAAAACACCCTCTAAATAACATGAAAATATTTGCAAGAGGGACAATGTTAGGACAGAGATAATGTTTCTATCGTCAAGGTTCGATTTTTAGATAGGGTTTCGAGTGATACTTCTGAACAAAAGATAAGCACAAATTTATTTCAACTGAGGCACCATTCAAGATTTGTCTATGGAAACTTTTGTGATGCCCTCTTTTCATTAGTGGTTATATTGCTTGATGATTAATCCAGCCCTCGTCGTCTTTCATTATCGTTGCAGTACAGTGCTTCCAAAATCTTCTTGAACTTTTTGCACGTCATAACATTTCCAACAATGCTTGTTGAACGTAAATGGGTCTGTAGACCAATAAAGTAGCATTTTATGAAAGCTCTTATTTCCATATTTGAAGGTGAAGATGGCAGAATACAACAAATATTTTTAGCACGCTTACCATCACCTATAATTATGTTTTATTTTTTTCAGTTCTATTGACGTTTTCCATAAAAAAGCATATCGATTTACCTGTACACAGGTGCCGATTATGCCCCATAAAAATGATTTATAGAAATTTTTGTTGGAAATGGTATCAAAACTTTATCGATAAACCCATTTTTTCAAATAACACTCTTAGGAGAGAGCCATTCGATAGAAACGTTTTATTGATACATTTTTAAAACTGTAGAAGTTGAATACGTATCAATTTATTTGTTGTACATGATACATCTGTTGTATTTTAGTGCGACACGTCCAACTGTTTACCACAAGGATTGTAGACGCGTATGGGATCCTGTTCTCTGTGAATATCAGCTTCTATTGATTGAGGACGATAATCAGCCTTGTCCATATCCAGCTTACGGCGCAGTTGGAAAATAAAGTGGAAATGAATCGATATAGTTTCATCGACTATACAAAGACGTAGTTGAAAAGTGGGAGTGGTTTGAATTAAACTGGCAAATCGAAATCATCTGATTATTTTCCAGATTTATGATTTACTTGTTGGAGTTAGAAGATTTTCCGTTTTGTTATAACAATCATATATTTGATATTACTTTGTTAAAGATTCTGAATGAAATATAATCAAGTGAAGAAAAATTGAGATAGTTACCTGTAACTGTTTATAGATGATATATACTGTTGGCATAGTATATGTAAGGATATTTTTGAATATATATATACACATTTTTCTGTTTTCAATTGGTATCTTGTATTTTATCGCTTTATATGGTGAACCCATTATAGGAAATTTTCTTAATCGTAATTTTGAACTTGAGTGTCCCTGCTATATTTTAATTGATTTTGACTCGAATTTCACTCCTCGTTATAAGTTTTTATATTTAAAATTCACTAAGTTCGTGATTTTATACCTAGTATTAATTCATAGTTACCCTCCCGTTATATTTAAGAAGACACCTAGAAACGATTCAACGGACGTGATAGCAACACCCAACATGTAGGTAGAGCATCAGCGTTCATGGTGTAAGCTCTCATCCACGTTGACAAATGTTTGATTTGTTTTGTGTATTCGCCTATTATAATAGTGCTTCAAAAAGCCAATAACGACACAACTTCAAATATACGAATACTGTATAATCAGATCGGCATTATTAGCGCCTTTTATTTGAATAAAAACTTTTGACTTAATATTAGCAAGCAGAAAGCATTTACAACAATGAAAATTTAACACGTCGCATCATTTTAATTAAAATACGGTAGTTAATGTAGGAGCTCAATCACAGAACAGGACGCCTACTTGGTAAATACTCGAGAATTCCATTAACGCCTTCCATTGTGATTTTTATCAAGGTAGACGCGGATATGGTTAATGCAAGCCAAACCGGTAGACGCCGTCATTAATTTTGCCTAGAAATATAAACATAGAAATAGAAGCGTAGAAGAAATATAAATAGTGAGTTCATATAAATCTGTCGGCAAAGCAAAATATCTTTCACATAAACCGACGTTCCTCGACTCGTAAAAAATTGCGAAAAATGAAACTCACGAAGCTTTGTTCGCTTCACGATGAAATCAGTAATAGCAAACACAATTAATATCGTGAATTTGCAGTAAAAAATGTAGCGATAGTGGTTACTTTTTTGAGAATGAGTACCAAGTTCATCTTATAATCTTCGATTTCCCGCCTGCTTATCAAAGTGGTCAAATATGTAAAAGTGTGCAATGATAGTCAACGTGGTGATAAGTTTGAGAAGAATGTTTCCACCAATATTAAACAGCAGATTGGATTATTTGTTCAGCAATTCGTCTATAATCATGAAACGGAAATATATTATCTTATTTAAAAATTATTCGTGGTTGTAAATGGTAGAAACAATGCCATCCACAAGAGATAATCTGACGCGAATTAAACATAATCTCACGCCAGTTTTTACACTCAGTTTTGCACATTCGATTTATACCGGTCCGCTAAATATAGTAACCAAAACAGGATTCGATTAAATATTTCTTACTTCAAGTTAAGTAGGTATTGAAGATGGGAAAGTTTTTCACAATTTCTCCGTAAGTTACTTGAGGCGTATAAAAATACCAAATTAGCAGAAAACTTGACGTGGGTATTCTCCTCTTTTTCTCTCTCTTCTCAGAATTTTATTTACTGCTATATACCGGTGACAAAATGTTCAAGGCAGCGGCATTGATTTTGCTTGGCTTGTTTATGATTTGCCACGAAACTCAATCTTCCTTATACATTAAACCTGGTTGCGAAGACAGTCTCGGAAAGACTCATGATGTAGATGAAAAATATGAAGATGGAGATTGTAAAACGTGCACATGCTCCCAAATTGACGGTGAGCTTTGGTCAACGTGCACTTCGTGAGTATTGCCTTTATGATGCAGAAATGATCGAAATAGTAATTTTAATTTTTACCACCCAATTTTAATTCCATTTTTTAAGAAGGAAGGAAAATTTGAAATTCTATGACATTGATATACGGTTATAATTTTATCAAGATATTTTCGAACTCACCTTTACAATATTTTGTTTCCGAGGAAATGAAATTTACTAATATAACTGCGATTCCAGCCACCTGAAACCCGAAAGCACATCTTTTCAAACTAAATTTTTTTCGCTTACATACAATAGGCTTTAATAAACTATTATTTAACCAATACATTTTGAATAAATTTTCTTGTAGCATGTACCTATATATTTTTATTTTCAGTTCGTTAACTAGCGTAACAACCAAGACCCAAATTGTGTTGTTATAACTGATGAACAAGATAAGTGCACACAAAAAGCTGTTCTGGAATCAGATCCTTCTCAACCATGTCCGTTCTTTAGCATGGTCGGGAGAAAATGAGTTGAGACAATGGCAAGAAGATGAGAAATGATATATTGTAATTTTTTATTATCGTAATTTTCACAATTTCCTATATAAGTAAGACATGAAAGATATATACTACTGATTTTTCAATGTCCGTTTTTGAAACAAATCTTTGAAATGTCTGATGAAATTAAAATACAAATTAAATAAAAAAGAACAAGCTGTTCTAGAGTCCGTTTTGGAAAAAAGTTGAAAGATCAGTTACGAACTACCGAAGTTAGTAATTTACGTTGCCGGATTTATTTTATTAAACAGTCGTCTTTTTCAAGAAAATTCAAAAATATTCCATAAAATTAAGTCTACATTGTATACCTTAGTCATAGTTAGTGAAACAAATATAAACTGCCATTCTTGAGAGAGGCCTTAAAAGTTTAAAACTAAAATGGAACAATGAAAATTCTGATGTTGAATACATTTGACACCTAACTAATTAAAATTTTGACCAAAAAACTGATACAATACAATAATAACAAACAAAGGGTAGAAACATGAAAAAACAGACGCATATTTTCAACAGTCACTCACATTGCGACTATTAATATTTTCTTCTAAAAAAACGGTAAATACATCGTCCACGATAAAAAAAGAGTAAAAGATGATTGGATATGTTGTACGAGTAAAACAGTATAAATCATTAAATTTTGTTCAGTTTTTTGTCTTTCGTAAGAATGATTTTATCATTTTTTTATGAATTGTTCCGTTTTGCAACATTTTTCTTGCAATTGAAAAGAAACCTCGCATAACTAAGGTGAACCAGTACAAATTGACAATGTCCAAAAATCCACCAACAGACAGCCAAATTACATGAGTGAGTGTCGAAATTCTGAAAAAGTACATGTTTAGTTACAGTGATTTTTCATGATAAATACTAGTGGTATATGAGATGTGAACTCAATCTCAATATGTCAGAAATTGTCCAGTTAAGTATGAAAATGGATGGAGTATAGTGCAAAGCCCCACCTATTGTTCGTATAAACCAAAAGCTCATTATTTGTACACATTGATGTTTGGCAAGTATAGATATGTCCAACAGTAATATTTGAAAATAAGTCCAAATATGCGATTGATTTGTTACTTGGAATGAGTGAATAATATTTTTTGAGCTATATTTTCTTACTTCATAAATTTAAAGAATGTTTTATTGTTTTATATCACTTGGTTTATCAAATACTGCATCTGGTTACAAGTATTAAATAAATTTAAATAAAATGAAAACGTTTATGATAAATTTAAAGTATATTCGTCACCTTTTCCATTCTTCAGTTCCAAAAATTTTCCAAACTTCCAAATAAAACACGGGTTGAACTAAAACGCGCGAGAAGAAAAAACTAAGAGTGAAGGTGATTGCATTCAATATGTAAGTTTTGTTGATTTTTTCACAGCTTTCCTTGTATAACGACCTGATAGACAAATGTTTAATTTGCTGAAATTTAGAAAGTGGAACATAAAATATAAATATTGCAATGACAAACTTATATATGTTGATTTTAGCTCATCATTGACCCCATTTCTATACCTATTCTAGACTCACTTTTAGTTGAGGGCTTTCAAACTTTGAGCGAGAATGTTTGAAAAAATCTTGAAAGATATAACAATAAATAAAACATGAGATGAACATAGACGTAGAAATCATTACAGAGCATTTGCATATATCAATATGAAACGAAAAAAATATTTTCACAGCACAAATGCTTACCCAGTATGTTTGAAAATTTGTGACAATTCCGATGTCAGTCGAATTGTAACAAATAGACCCAAAATCTCGTAATTCTGTAATTATAACACCATTTCAAGCAAAATTAGGTAAAATAATATATAGATAACATTCAAAATGAAATATTATTACCAAACTACATACCAAAACAATGCTGAATCCTATCAGAGAAAAACAGTGATGCAGTTTAAAGACGATTGAAGCTTCCGATTCTACTGGATAGTAGAACATCCACCACAAATCTTAATGAAAAATTATTCCGTAGCGATTATTCCTTCGAATGTAGAAGTATCAACACTTTTTTTCAGTGTACCAAATAATAGTTATAATAAAATAGCTTGAACGATTTTTAGCGTGTTAAAATTTACACTGCTAAACCGATTAGGTAAAACTTATATTTTAAATTGATAAATTCGGCCAATACTGTGACAAGTTAACTGTTTCTATGCCGAAGTAAATAAAGTGTATTCATCGCACTCTTTTTTTTTAATTTTGCCTAAGAGTCATTGAAGTCAGAACTTTAGATTTATCCAAATTTTGAAATCTGTTCTTGTTATTGGCATTTTGAAGCATTTGAATTTTGTAATACTCAACTAAACACATACAAGCAATTTACAATACCAGCAACTAAATATCCAGCGATAACATATAAGTTCGTCTTCACTGATGAGTCGCAAAATCTAAAACGAAATGAAAATATCTAGTATTATCAGCCCGATATTGGCAATTGAATTATAGACTGTCATCGACAAAATGTGACGTCAACCTGTTTATTCTCCGGAAATTGTTTTTATATGGAAATTCTTTTATACATAAAAGTTTTCAGCCATGATATTCAATTATAAACGATCTATCATGTATTAGAGGTCAGCTTGCTATACAGAAATTCATAACGCATTTGGGCAGAGTGCTTCCGTGATAGTGTTGATTTAAAATTTTCAAATTCCCTTACTACTAGATATTTATCTAATAGTGGTGGGATGATTATTTTTAGGTTTTAGCATTTGAATGTATAACATTAAGTGGAATCGTGTTCTTGAAATTGCTTGAAACAAATTTTCCTGGTAGAAGATATTATTAATATATATTCAACTAAACATTGTAACATGAAGTAATAACGAACACACAATCATTAATTGAGGATTCCATTAAAGGAGTCCTCTTGCATAGATATGGTAATAGTGTTAGAAATGTTAGTTTTGAACATATAATTTTGAGAGTTTTCTAATCTCCCCAATTTCTGTCTATAACCGAAAGATCCCGCGATCTTTGGATAGGCGTGCAATAGAATTTCTTTGGCAAAGATTTTGCATTTTGAATATATTATATGTATTTGTACGATTCAAAATACAAAAACACTACACATGCGTTTGTTAAATAAATAAATAGTAGTACTCACTGAATCGGCTCGGCCCATGCCTCTGGCTGGTTGAGTGTATAAACACTGAGACATACAACAATGATACCGTTTGCTATACTTGCAAAACTGTAAAAGTGAAGTTATTGAATATTAGCGTTGGTATATTAATTAAGTAGAGGGCTAACCATTTTACTATCTTTTAGTATGCCAAAAATTAGTTGAATATGGCTTAGTATTTGTGGGATTTGAATAATATTGAAACGCCAGAAACGGTAGTTTTCTTAAGTGATTTTCCAAGCCATGAGACCAATTCATCTAGTAATAGTTTGTAGAGTACTGACGAAACTGCCACCTTAGCAAAGTTATTGTCAGTATTAATTGATAACTTAATTTATATTTGAATCGCCACTTCCTGTTCGAATGAGCGTCGGTGTTGAGGTTATTCACGAAAAAATCATTCAGTTGGGCATACTCGGGAGTCTTCTGGTTCGTGATTTATACACACTAGATATCATTGATTTGACATCCCCCCGTCGTCTATTTTTCGTTTGTTATATTGGAATCCCAGACATTACAAAGGGCGAAAACCGCTTGCGTGCTCCTAACGTGTCACGTTCCAAGGTATATTTTTAATACAGCACCATAGTTTAAGTATATAAGTGATTTATAGGCGAAATATAATGAGTAGAGCTAAGCTTGGCGGGAACGACGCCAGATGGAAAAATAGCCTGGTCGGAGTGGTTGTGACATCATAAAAGAGAAAGATTACCTTACCTTATTCCCCATGTTATCTTTTTCCCACGATCAAGTTTGTTATACGTTAATGAAACACGAGAGAAAACAACGGAGAGATGAAATTTCGTAGAATTTCGAAAATATTGCAGATAATATAATCCAGGCTATGTAGTAATCCATGAGCTCCATTTAACTTAATATCTGGGAATATTTTTCGAAAAAATAAAATCGTTAAAAGATGAATTTGTTGAACATATATCTCTTATTAATATCAGTCAAATTATCAACAACAGTTATTCTTTAAAATGATTTGCGACCTATAATTTTTATTTGATTATTACGCCAATTTAACATTAGCTGTACCTTATTAAGTGACCGGTATTTGAAATTCTGAAAGAAAATTGCAAATTTTCTAACGATTTGAATATTACCAATATTCATATAAACCTCGGAAAGGTTTGTCCAATCAGCACTGTCTCGGTTTTTTTTTTATATATAAGGAAGTCTACCTATAACACTACACACATGTAATCACAAGTTTGCAAAGAAACAGAAAATGTACAGTATCTTACAACAACATAAGTACCTGATTATACTTTGAGTTATGCAATCGAAGCATACTGCTCGAGACTACTCGTTTTATCAAATATTAGAAGAACGTAAAACTATCCTATGCCGCGGGGAAAATGATAACGACCATTTACTGAGATAAAATCTATGAAGACCAATTTTATAATTTTCAAAATGTTGGTATTTTTGACTTTAATCGGTATTAGGAGTAGAACGATACTGAAGTTGTCAGTTATTTAGTGACGACCACTGATCAACTAGGCAACTGAACTAATATTAAAACCGGATAAGGTAGTTCATACAGAATTCAATACCATAAAAAAGAAGAAAAAAATGCTTAAATATATGAACACAAACGTGAAATAATTACGCCAAAGATCCTAACCTGAAATTACCTTATTTTCAAAACTAATTCGACCACTATTGTCCATGCAATACCATATTTATTTACTCCTTGAGGCATTTCTAAAGTCTACGCCAAATTTACTTGGTGAGAAATTTTCATTTCGCTCAACATTTCATGCTTACTGTAGGGTAGAATTTGATACGCCGAATTTTAGTCGAGAAAGGAGTGAAATGGCTATGACGTTACGGGGCTTAACTTCGGTCAAATTACCCTATATTTTCAACAAAAACTTGGTCAAAGTGTTCTTATAACGCCCAATTTACTCATTGAGTCATTAATGTGGTACTTGCCATTCTTTGCTTCCTATAGAAACTGAAATAAGTGAAATGTATATGCCGCATTTTAGTCAAAATATAACGGCTTGGAATTTTTATGCGAAGATCAGGAGGAATTATTATGTAAGTATTTTCGAAAAATTTTGTATGCACCTATACGACAAAATTTCATTTAAACTGCCTTTCGTTGTCCCTCAATTACGTAGTCTGCTAATACATAACGCCATTAATTCCCTCTTTCTTAATTGAATATATTCCCGATGGCTTGTTTTTTCTAGTTCGCAATAATTGTGAAAAATGTTCACCAATTTTATTATGGACTTGCGCTTGTGTTATGAAAGTTTTATTTGGCAGTATCTGTTTTTATTAATATTTTTGCTAATTCGGCGATTCATCCTAGTTATTACACCCGCTAACATATTACATAATAAGCCTACTGGATTACATCAGAAGTGGTGCAGTCGTGGGGTTCAGGGAGTTCGCACGGGTTCCCGGAATCCGTTCTTGGAATGTCGTATTAATCAGCGAACCCGTTCTTGCCTTTTTAGTTTAATTCCACATGGTTTTCTGTACTGAGGGAACCTGTTGTTAGTGATTTCGGTACAAAAGAACACTCGTTCTTAAAATTTTGAATCTCATCACTACTTAGGTGGACTGATTTGCGGATCAATTATTCATGCTTGTGGTGATGTGTATGTATAATTTTTAATTTTTTATTATGTACATTCGTTCCAAACAGTCACTCCCACATTTCGCTAATATCATGTAGTCAACTAACGGTGAATTGCTAGAAAATTTAAGGCAGAGTAACTATTGATACATGGTCTTTTTTGCGTATAATTGGTATGTGAAATTATAGCACAATACTACCAGAGCATGCGTCTTTCGATGCTAGCAGTATTCTACTGTTTTCCAAACTTTTTTTTTAGCCGAGCTCACTTAGACAACTTAGTAACTACCCCCAAACACACACATATATATGCCAAAAATCCAACACCTTGTTATAATTCATCGTCTTCTCTGTCAGAAAAATTCACGAATCTCTTCGTCTGGTCATGTTCATGCTTTTTTTTTGCAGGCATGGTGCAGGCACGGCATTTTCGCACTTTATCGGGGTCTTGTAACTTTTTTTTTAGGCCGACAGAAAATTGTTCTTTCATAATGGGATATTTATTAATTAATGAATTGTCAGTTGAGCATCGGACGAATGTTCTACCAATCAGAAGCTAAGAAATGTTATGAGATTTTTTAATCCGACCCCACGCATAATAATAATCCCGTCCGATTTCATTGTATATTGAAAACGTTATACGATATCGCTTTGTAATGTTCCTCTTCAAGCATATCAAAATATTAGGAAATATTATCTATATGCGCTCAAATGCTTTGTGCATCTCATTTTGCAATTGTTTATAAGCTTATAGCGCATGGGCTTTTGTACTATTCAATGCCTTGATGACTATCATCAAGGATAATCTAAAAGGACAGGTTATATTTCTAGCCACCAGATGGTGCCGATGAATCGACCGCATATTTGAGTTTGCTACTTTCAGTGTTGCAATGAAGCCATGAAAACGACCGACCAATCGCAGCAGTGATAGCGCCAGCAATGGCGCGCTACAATAATAGTCAGTGGAATTTCGTTATTTTTTTATCGAAATACATTTTCACCTACTTGAATATTTTTTGCCCGACTCACTGTGCGTTGATAGCGATGGGTCATTGTCATATAACTTTAATTCAAAATAATAGCGATTTTTCATGCAGAGCGGCGTAGAAGGGTTTCGATGAAGGAAGCGTCAATAAAGTAAAACACGCGCTATACTAAGCTCATTATGTAAAATTACACTATAGCTAACAAAGACAAAATATATCACGCTAAATAGTAAATTCCTCACACCAAAAGCACAGAAGAATTAGGTTAAATTTAAATATACAACTAGAGTAAATTGACATCGCAAATGAAATTACATTTCTTGTGACTGCCCGATTTGTTGTCAGCGCCCGACTTGACATCCAGCGCATATAGTTTACGTAAATCTCCAACAGCAGCCTTTTTTGATACCAATTTACCCCCCCCCCCCCCCCAATTAGGTTTTAAACATCTTTCGACCATGTGACCGAATTTCCCATTACATAAAAATGATAAACATCTTCTTACATTATTTCTATTTCTTAAACTGCTATTTCTTTGGGAACTGGCTTAGATAGATGAATTGTATCATTTTTTTTCATATTGACGTGTAACTCCTTCAAGGTAATTTTCATTTGTTTTTATTTTTGATAAATACTGTTTTGCCCTCTCGCGCGAAGTTACCTTTAAAATAAAAGTACTTAAATTAGGGCGTGTTGATCTTCCCTGAGGTTATTAAAAACAAGTTTCAGTGGTTTAATTTTTGAAAAAGAAAATTTTTGAATTCGTTCAAATTTGTTTTAAATGATTCTTCTGAGAAAATTTATCATTGTGCGAAATTTCAGTAAAAGTTTTTACATTTAAACCGCTTAATTTCTCTGCACAACTCTAATATTACTTCACAAGTAATTGGAATACTCTCTTGCAAGTTTCTGTCACACCTTTCTAATTTTGGTGAAGAATGTCGACTGTTGCACCTCCAGCGGCTTGTAGAAATATAATCATCTTAAAGGCAACTTACAATACTGTGTTAATACACAAATTATATATATATATATGTTTTTGACAGCTTAAAACCATACTTTCGCGACATTCTGAGAATGCCCCGCGATCTCCTTTCTAGTCCCGTAAGCCAGGTTGGGAGCCACTGTTCATACCAATACACTGCAACCTTTTATAATATTAACCATACTTCCAATGCATCTAAAGCATTTTTGTGAATGGTCGAAAACAACTGCAAATCATGGAGATGGAAGTAGTTTAAATGCAGCTGTGTGTAGAAAAGTACTTGAATAATATAAAAATGTTCGTCAAATATTTTTGGAATGCTCGTTTTATAGCGGTTGACATATGGTCATGAATTTGATCAATTGACTCGAGATAAATTTTCTACTACCTATTTTGGGGCTTCTAATCTCTCATCATTGATGTAAATAAAGCAAAAGACCAGGAACAAGTCAGCAACAGTATTTTATTAGGCAAAATCATCTTATATATATTGTCACGTTAGCTCAGGTTTAATATTAAAATGTTACAAAAGTTTATTCTATCTATTATCTTTAAAGCATGTCGGCATGTTAAAGTTTAATGTCAAGTTGATCAAGATAATATTAAATGTTGTTTTGAAGTTCGCAGCGTGTAATAAATCTGTTTGTTTTATCTACAAATACATCTAAGCATAGATATTTAACCTATTAGACATTGTTATTCCTGTTTAATTCTCAAATGATAATTAGTAACCATGGTCTGGGAGCGAAGAAGGTGTTTATTTTGCAAATAAATTTTCTGTTTGATTACACGGAATGACATGTTAAAGAATGTTTTTAATATTAATTAGTTATTAGTCGGACATTGCCTCGGGTGAAGAACAAAATATTTTCAAATTCGACATCTTCATTTTTGTTTTCTAATGCAGATCTGAAAAAAGTAGACAGAATTTTTTTACAAATGTTAACAAATGAGGTTAAAATTATATTTTGCAAATTTTTAGTATTTTCATCAATTATAGATGACTGAAAATGTCTCAGTTTTGTGCCATAAATTAAAATTGTAGCATGTGAAATTTTGAATTCCGTAATAATTTTAAGCTAAAAATATAAGTAAAACCTATCTTTCTTTTATTTATGAAGCCGGAATAGTACCGCCCAAAACATATATCATTTCCCTACCTTCCCGAAATCGTTTGCCTGTTTTTACCTTCTTTGGATTCTTAATCATTTTGTCTGCTGCAGAAAAAGACGCTGTCATCAGCCAAAGCAGTAGAAAGACTTTGAGTAATCTCGTGAATAGCATGTTCGAAAAAACTAATTGTTGAACAAAATATTTTTATAATGTAGATACAAAACGCAAGTAAAATGCTTTAGCACCAGCTAATGAATGTTATCTGCTTTATTATCACTTGCTAAGCATTGTAATTGCGTGATTGAATATGTGCGAGTAGAGTCTATATTATGGTACGCTTCATTAGTTTAATTCATCAATATACCTACAACTGATTGGAATTGATAATTGTGGTGCGACCCTATGATTCATTATCTCCCACTGCATTTTCACCGAACAATACACACATTCACTGCCATCGCGAAAGAATTATAAAACTAAAATTCAGTGACAAAGTAATTGCAGCACTGTAGCACGCAAAACAAAGAATGCAATGCATCGCGTCGAAGCAAGAATTGTCGAACGACGTATGCCGCTGGCTGGATCTATTTTTTCTTCGACGTTCTCATTCTCTTCTCAACTCAATATCCTTATGAAAAAGTCTAACTAAGCTTCACATTTTCGGCCATTAACCTCATCATTTTTTATTCTTTTTCACGAAGCCTCTCTATCAATTACGATGGCACATACTGTGGTAGACGGTAGTTGGGTTCAACACTTCAACTTGAATGTTTCCATCCAGCACTACTTTGATAAAACTCGGCATTGATCTCGTTTGAATTTGTTTATATCATTATTTTGAGAAAATTCATCATTGTGCGAAGTTTTAGTAAAAGCATTTACTTTTAAACCGCTTAATTTCTCTGCACAACTCTAATATATATTACTTCACAAATAATGTGAATACTCTCTGTTTGTGTTACACTTTCCTAATGTTGGTGAAAAACGTCGACATGTCCAGCGGCTTGTAGAAATATAATCACTTTAAAGGCAATTAACTATACTGTCTTGATACAAAACGAGGACAAACTATATGTTTTTACCAGCTTAAAACAATACTTTCGCTACCCTCTGAGAATGCCTGCGATCCCTTTTTGGGTCCCGTAAACCATGTTTGAAACGACTGTTTTTACCAATTTGCCGAAACTTTTTATAATATTAACTATACTTCCGATGAGTTTGAAGTAGAGACCATTTTTGTCCAAGGTCGATTGAAACTATGAATTATGGTAATTCGACTTTGAAGTAATTTAATGCAACTTTCTTTACTATGTGGGGGAAAGAACTTGAACTATATAAAAAGGATCGTCAAACATTTTTGAATTCTTGTTCTATAGCTGTTGACATGAACATAATTTGCTGAATTGACTTCTATTTAATTTTCTACTATCTATTTTGGGGCTTCAAATCTCTCCTCATTGATGTAAATAAAGTGAAAGACCAAAAACAAGTCTGCAACAGTATTTTATTAGGCAAAATCCACTTACATTGACACGATAGTTCAGGTTTAATATGAACATGTTATAAAAGTTCATTCAGCCTATTATCTTAAAAGCATGTCGGCATATTAAAGTTCAATGTCAAGTTGATCAAGATAATATGAAATACTGTTTTGAAGCCCGCAGTGTGTAATAAATGTGTTTGTATTATCTACAAATATATCTAAGCATAGATATTTAACCTATTAGGCATTGTTATTTCTGCTTACTTCTCAAATGATAATCAGCAAGCATGGTCTGGTAGCGAAGAAGGTGTTTATTTTGCAAATAAATTTTCTGTTTGATTACACGCAATGGCATGTGAAAGAATGCTTTCAATAATAAATATTTATTAGTTGTCCATTGCCTTGGGTGAAGTCTGGTCGAGGCGAATAGCAAAAAACAAAAAAAATTCGAATGTGACATCTTCAATTTTGTTTTCTAATGCAAATCTGAAAAAAAGACAGAATTTCATTACAAATGTTAACAAATAAGGTTGAAATTATATTTTGCAATTTTTTAGTATTTTCATCAACTATCGATGACTGAAAATGTCTCAGTTTTGTTTTATAAATTAAAATTTTAGCATGTGAAATTTTGAATTCCGTAATAATTTTATTTAAACTAAAGCTATAAGTAAAAACTATCTTTTTATTTTATTTATGAAGCTGGAATAGTACCGCCCAAAACATATATTATTCCAATACCTTCTCGAAATCGTTTGCCTCTTCTGTCAGTTTTCTTAATCCTTTCGTCTGCTGCGGAAAAAGACGCTGTCATCAGCCAAAGCAGTAGAAAGACTTTGAGTATTCTCGTGAACAGCATGTTCGAAAGAAGTAATTATTGAACAAAATATCTGTAATGTATATACAAAATGCAGGCAAAATGCTTCGCATCAGCTGACATTATCTACTTATTATTATGAATTTTCTTATTATAATTTCGTGATTGAATATGTGCGAGTCAGGCTCTACACCCGACGCTTCATTTATTTAATTCAATATTATACGGTATACCTATAAGTAACTGATTAAAATTGATGATTGTGGTGCGACCCTATGATTCATTATACCCCACTACATTTACATCGAATAATACACGCATTTACTGCAATTTCAACTATCTTGTAAAATTAAACTTTAGTGACACTTTAAGTAAAATAGCAGACTCACTGTAGCACGCAAAACAAATAATGCAATGCATCGCATCGAAGCATTGTCGAACGACGTATGCGGCTGGTCTCATATATTTTTTCTTCTACGTTCTTATTCTTTTTTTCAACTCAATATTCTCATGAAAAATCCTAACTGGGCATCAGCTGTTACGCCACCAAAACCAGCTCTATCCTGGATAGGCTTGCACGTAATTTACGGATTTACGGAATTACGTAATTATTTGGAGTTACGGAAGGGAAATTACGAATTACGTAAAGTAGTAATTATTGCATTGAAACGAGCTTTCTTCAAAGCAGTCAATTTCGTCGATTGCGAAAAATGAAAGCTCAACAAGTAGAAGAGAGTTCCGGTATTCGCAGCCGTTTTTCTCTCTCTTGTTACGTAGGTGAAGGAAGGCCTGACGCGTTGCCATTTACTAACCTATTATCAACTTCTCTGGCATGGCCAATGTAAATTATTAACGTAGTTAAGGGGGAAGAACTGAGTAGGGCCGTTTGACGCCAACACACCTGGTTTTAACTTCTCCCGTAACTTAACCGTAGATAAGGGATAGAATTGCGTTGAGACCTATTGACGCCAACACACCTGGTTTCAACTTCTCTCGCTTCTTATCTAGCATGGCCGTGGCCAATGTACATAATAACCGTAGATAGGGGGAAGAATTGTGTTAAGACTGATGGACGTTAACACGCCCGGTTTCAACTTCTTCGTGTGAAATGACTAATGAACGCAGGAGATCAATCTTTCAAACATGGTCTATCAAACATTTGTATCCATTTTACTTTTATTTATTATTTACTTGTTCCAGTTTTCCGTTACTTATGGTATATAATATATATGTTCCGTTTCTATTTTATAGTCACGCGTTTAAATAGTGGGAATTCCCCACCAAGTGTGGATTAGCAATGCTTAACCATTCTTTATTGTTAATATGAACACTTGATATATGAACATGGAATATCATACTGTTTTTGGCTGTTTTATTTCAGACTTGGGGTATAAACAGGAAAATATCCATAACATTTCAGCACGACGATTTTGTGAAATTTAACGAAGAGCTTTCGCGACGAATTGGAACCGAATAAGCGAAAAGAGCGATTGATCACTCGCGCCAATACCTCGCCGTGATAATTAATGTCGCGCTTATCAAATAGCAATATGACGACAAAAGAGAGATTGCGTAATGAACCAACGCAACTTCGTCTTCTCGGCATCGGTAAAGCGATTGAGACGGCAGAGAAACAGCAAAACGACGGATCATATATAATCAAATATGAGCCAGTGTGTTTATTCTGTGCGAGATCCATTTTCTATTACAAAATCTTGATGTTCTGTTAACGGTTTTATCGTTATATATCTGTCCGGACTTGGCCTTGCTCATGATGTTTTTCACAATTCCTCTCAATATTTCGGCCATATATGATTAACTGTCTTACCAAATGCGGCAACTTAATTTGATTTATCGTCGACTTGAATACCACCGGCACTCGACCAAACTTGTGTCAATCTTGGCCGATAGGATCGACGACTTGAGTTAGCAAATAAATGTCGTGAGTGTAAAATAAATGTCACAAAATGCATTGTTTTGCGATATAACTTTGTGTTTTCGGAGAAGGCATATCATATAAGTTCCATATTTAAATTATACTCAAATAAATAATATTTGATCTTAAATTTATCGCAAATAATGTTATAAACATTCAGTCCGCGAAATGATTGAATGTAAAATGAAGCATGGTAATCGGAATATCGTCAATAAGTCGACATCAATAATTATTATTATAAAATGCTAACAAGGCAGTAATATCGGATAATGCAGAAGACGCTGCAAAAACAAGTCTTCGTCGCGAGGAAATCGCAAGTATAATCAAACGAGAGAATACGCTCGTCGTTAGTTAATAAATTAGAAACCCGTAATTTTTATTCAGCACTAAGGTGGTTTTAAAAAACTATCGTTTCCATAAATATCCGTATACCAGTGTTGGTAATAATAAAATAAAATTGATCGCATAAAAATGGGACGGTTAATTTGCGAAGGTGATAAAGGAAAACCAAAGCTAACACAAAAGATAAAAATCAGAATAAAATTAATTTGAATTCACTCCTCGATATTTGCCTTTAACATCTGCCGACGGCGTGTAGTACTGCCAAGAATATGAAAACCCAACTTCAATGTCCCATTCGGAAAAGAAGTGGATTCAATTGGTTGTTATGATAGGTTTAAATGCATGAAAAAATATCGCAATTACGGGGTCATTACGTAATTGATTTTGCCGTAATTACGGAATTGATTTTTGTCAATTACGTGCAAGCCTAATCCTGGATGTTGATATTTCGCTTATTTACATATGGTTCCAATTTGAATGGTTAATAAGAACTAATATCTTATACATATATGTCTTATCGGGAACTTCTGTAGTAAACACAACCAATAAAACGCTTTTGTGTCGTCGGAAATTGTCTGAGTTATAAATATCATCGATTTGAAAATAAATGTCGAGTCAGAGGTCTGAAAAGCTGGTAAGAATCACTTATATAACCCAGCTAAGAATGACAGAAAGAAGCCCCTCTTGTAATGACTTTGTACTGGGTTAGCATGCAATTTTAGTGATCCATTTCATCCTTGGCACCGTGATGTTTTCAAACATGTGAAATTTTCCTCTACCTTCCTTCATTGTCAATGTCGCTATAACGGCACACATTGCGTTGTTTACGACTTGCTGCGCCAATTACGGTCGACAATTATTACACTTGGTGTTTTTCAAATCTTTTATGCAGTAATAATTAGGGTGTGACGTCATCAAATCATCAAGTGAGTTGTTGAATTCGCACATTTCGTAAATACAATTGTGAATTTATCGGTAACTATTTTAGCTATGATAATGGTTTTGGTATTGTTTTGATGGAAAATAATACAAGAAAACGATCAAATTAAAATTAAGTACCTATAGTTAGTGATTAATCTTCTACCAGATGCAATAACAATCGAGTTCAAGGTTGTTGTTTTTTACAAATTTCTGGACATGGGGTCGCATATGTAGTATTATATTGGATACTCGCACATGCGCGTCATCTCGCGGAAGAGCACTCTAGCATACGCTTTTAGGAAGCCATGGCGTTTTAGGGCTTAATAAGTGAATAGTTTAATTGCTTGGTCAATTATAAAATGAAACAGTTTGAACAGAACTTTTGTTTACTCTATAATACTTACAACAATAAATTTACAATAAAGAACCAAATAATTATTTGGTAAAAGCTGTTTTTGTGAATTTTATGGAGGTCCATATGGTACTCTTTTTTTTATTTGTGTATTGAAAACACGCACGTACATAGCGTGTGTTTGACTATTAGGTACCAGATTGAGAAAGTTGACAAATAGTCCGAAATACCAAATCATGTTTTGTATTATTTATTATGAATGTCTCAAACAAAGTCGTTCCTTCATTTCATGCACAAAAAATATTAATATTCCATTTTGTAAAAAAGGTATTCATCTCTGTAATTGCTACCGATACTTTAAAATTGTTGGTGTCCTGTTTAGTTTCAAAACGATAAAATTTTGGAAATTTCATGATAATAGAGAAGTATTCAATCGTTTGATATTCATAAAATTGGATACTCTGCCTTTAAAATTTATGTATGTAAATAAAAAACATTGTAGCTGACGCAGATTTCTAGTTGAGATACGATACTTCAATTTTATGCCGAAAGAGGGGGTAGGGCAATAAGACGATTTTGGTTGCGACCCACGGCCTCTCGGACATGGAAATAGTAAAGAAGCCAATCAATCCAATGGATCTAGTTGATAAACAGAAATTCCTTTGTTCCCCTACCCTTTATGCTGCTATAATTAGGTTTCAGAGATTCAGAAGATTAGAGCAAAGTTATGTTATCGATCTAACTTTAAATCAATAACACTGGTAAACAGAAATAAAACTTATTTCATGCGGTATCAAAACTTCTCGTTACTTATGTACTTATTATCGTGTTATATGCAACTGACCAAAATTTGTTTGATTGTATATCATTATTACATTATCAAAATAGTAATGAAAAAATGATAGAGAACTAAATAGTTCTGCCGCTATTATACATTTATGTGAATGAAGAAATATCCAACTGAGAAAATGGGATAAACATTTAAAATAAAACAATGATATTTAAGCATTTGTGAAAATGTCGTTAACAGCAGAAATTATCAAGTGCCGATTAGAAAAGACTTCACAGAATGTTGTTGTTACCCCGGGTAAAGCCTACAAATCGTTCAGTGTCTCAAAAATATCATTTTCTTACTTGTCTCATGTGTCTCACACTTGCCTTTTACTTGTCCAACACTTGTGCCAATTTTCCTACACTTTTACTGCTTGTTTTACTTGTTCGATATGTTCCACAAACAACCAACTGAACTATTTTGAATTATCCCTAAACAAGATCGACAAAATGATTAGAAAAACAATAAAACCACACTAATCGATTGTAAATTTCTCCCCATAACTTTATTGATGTTGCTTCACTGTTTCATCTGGAGAAATTGAAAAATGTAGAAGTTTTTCTCCTTGACATTTTCTCCTGAGGGCAATTTCAAATTCCCTTTACAATGTACTTGCAAAAGGGACATTTAACTCTACAAATGCAGGCTTTTTAAAATTACGCTGAGCATCATTCACATTAGAATAAGAATTGGATGATACATGTCATGGAGTAAATAAATATACCGACCATGTCCATCAATGAAATGCATTGTAATGTAAATAAATTAATATTTTGAAATTTGTTGCGTCAAGTTATCGATAAACATGCATTAAACAAGTATTTTGATTTTTTTGAGAAAAATAACTTGATAAAACAACTTGGCCAAATAAGAAAAGCCATGGCAATTCTTGTAAACACACAGTATAATCAGACATCTTCAACTCTCAAACAATCATTATTCAAGGCTCATGGGCATACATGGGGGTGGAAATAGATCAATATCAAAAAGTGGCTTCAATGTAAATAAACTAACAAGGAGAAGAATCCCCAAGGGTGTTACAAGAGACCATCTCCCAGATTTCAAAATTTTCTTTTACAAAGTCATTTATACCATCCATAATGCACATTTATTATTATTTGAAACCGGAGAGGTCATACGGATCGTTTGCTAATTTGTTGATGTTGTTTTGGGGGCAAATTTTTTGTGCTGAAAAAATAGCATCTTCTCTCTAACCAATAGCCCAATCTGTCACAAGTGGTACATAGGTAATACCAAGGATATTTTTTCAAATTTACATTGATCTATGAAAGAGACCGTTTCTATTCCGGCAAGAATGACCGTCACAACCATCCACGTTTTGATTTTGCGAACTCGGTGCCAAGACACAGTTTTGTGTGTGTCGAGCGTGAGATACCGATACAGCGGCGCCTTTGTTTCCATATATTTAAGCATTGTTTTCTTGTTGGACACGTCAGTGGACATAACGATCGTTTCAATATTATGTTGTTGTTCTTGTTTTTCTCCTCCTTCGTCATGATAAAATCGCTTTTCTCTTTGAATACTGGACCAATTGCTTTGAAATTTTCTGTGGGTAAAAATTGATTTTTTCGCCAGAAGGCTATTACTTTTACTTATTTCAAAAATTTCTGTGTACCTCAAGAGATTCCTTTTTTATGTGTCAGAATAAGAAAAAAACCACGTTGTGATGTGTCCATATATTGGAGCATAGCTCTCTTGTTTTTATATCATGTTGGTATGATTAACGTAATCAGAAGTAGAAGTAGCTTCGAGCTCTCGGCCACAGTACTAAATTCAGTGAACACTTACGTCTATGTTAGTCGTAAGAATGCCAGATCAGTACCGGAATGTGTGAGTAACAAAACTGATTCTGCTTAACTTCTGAACGATTATTCTGCTGTTGTTAATCATGTTGTAAGGCAACTAAGTCAGGAGTTAGGAAAGATAAATATATATATATATGTATAAGCAAAAAATATGGATCCTTTCAAATGTTCAATACGACTGATTTGGCTCCCTCGTATAATCAGAGGGAAATTTTGATTAAAAACAAGGAGACGATTTTTAAGCTAATAAATTTCAGATAGATTTTTGATAGATTCTCTTCAGCACTCTGCGTATAATACCGCGAGTTCAGTGCACGGAATTATTCACAATCATACGAGGCTCAGCTTCATGAATTCTCCTGGATTAAGCAGAGTGAGATTTTAATAGCTGAGACTGAATTGCGAGATAAGAGAAACGATAATGCCGTAGTGCAGGGTGAAGAGCATGGCCAGTATCAGGTTATCAGGGTTTCGATGTTCCAAAGAGAGAGTTTTAAGAGAAAATGTTTGAATATTGATGCCTAGCAAAAACACGAAATGCTTCGAGTAGTAGTCATTTTTCATCGAGTTGCAACGCGATCAATTTCACATCAAAGTTGTAAATTGCAATGAAATAGACACGCCTCTATGTGTGACCTATTGGGTAGATAACATTTTTGGACCTCCTGAAGTATGCGCACCAAGATGGCGCACAACCTGAACTCAGGTTGTGTACCAGGCTGAGGTTCAGGTTGTGCGACATCTCGGTGCGCATACTTCAGGAGTACCACATTTTCAGTCTAAAATAGTTGGCAGAATAATACCAAGAAATGAGTATTCTTGAAATACTGTGCTGAGATTAAAATATATTTGTATAAAAATATAATATAAAAATATAAAATATATGTATATTTTGTTTCATGCTAGGAATCTATCAATGCCGAGTATTACCGAATCAGGGCTGGATGGAAACTTCAATATGAAAAAGGCGAGTGTTAAATTTTTTTTATTTCCATCAACCATTAATAACCTTTATTAATGCGCTGTATCGTACAAAAATTAATGAGTTTTAGTTGTTTTTGCAATTAACGCATTTTCCAGCTCCAGTCATAATCATAGAAATTAAGCCACACGATACTAAAGGAAGGTGTATTTTTCTTAGATAGGGCTCTATACGTGAAAAATTCGATTTGCATTTTGTCGATGACCAAGCATGGAAGGACAAAAATTGTCATGTTTTCCCTTTGCACGTTTGCAATGCCAAAAGATGTAACAAAACATGGCAATAAGATCTTTAATGAACAGAGTTAAGACGAACATACTTTTCAATACCGATGACAACGACAAAAATGAATGCGACTCGTCGACCATTGCACTTTAAATACTTTGGACATAAAACTCGTTTCGAAGTCGAACTTTGACGTTTTTAAATGTCTAAAGCGGCAAAGCCCATCACTACTTTCAGACAGCAATAAAATATCCTAACTCGACACTTGTAAAAGATATATTTTTTCAGAGCAATAATATTTATTTTCGACTAACATTACTCAGTAACGTATTGGTATAGTTTTCCTCCACCGCCAGTCTTCATTTGGGGCAGATGAAACTCGTTGCATAGTGACCTCGACACGGTTACAGACATCCGACCACAGAGCGTTAGCCTCCGGTTATAAATAAATTATTCTGTTTTTGCAACAACAAAACCCGTATTATTCGGACAAATGTACATTTTAAGACGACCATCTAATTACTATTGGTTACGTTTTGTTCAGTCTTGTCGATATGAAAACGACGTTTGAATAGCGTTTTAGTAAGACTCGCAGACGTTGGACTCGAGAAACATGTAATTATAAGGAGACAAAGTTATAGAAATAGCAATTCAATTTAGCAAGGATTATGTTGCCTTTCCTCGTAAGCCACCAGGTTTACCAAGAACAGTGTGGGATGGGATATCCTATACATCCCAAGGGAGAGAAACGCATAGTTGCATCTTATGGTGAAATGAGAAAAATACAATTAAAGTTGGGAATAAAAATAAATTGCTTTATCCCCTCTTGTTCAATGAAGGATCGTAATATATGATATGAACTTAAAGAACCTTCGGGAGAAATACCCGTTGTTGCGTTTTATGCACCGACGTACTAATCCATCTATAAATTACTATAAAATACCCGCATATCGTGCCCGCACATACTATTTGAGTTTACCTACAGCTCTAATAATGAAATGTTATCGAAATATGATTACTTGATTCTACCCCACGACCCTAAAGAGGCAACTTGAGTATGAAAACTGGGGGAAATTTTTGTTGTCTGACTTTGATTGCAACCTTGGGGGTCCTTGAACTCCCGACTGAGAACCAACTATCCGCATAAAGCAGTTGACTACACGTAATAAAAAGCTGGGAGATCCAAGGAGTAACAAAACCGTTCACTCGGATGTCACGAAAGACACGAATGCGTTTGTTTCAAATTTCAAGTTTAGTAACGAGTAAGTTAAAGAGAGTGTCTTCAGTCATCTACAAAACTTGTAGGATGACTTTGAGCAATACTTTCCCAGTATAAACATTAGTAGCATTTAATGAAAGTAGTAGGAGATTCTTCTTTATGTAAAGTATAGTATGTTTCTGATGCGATTAATTAAAATTTATAGAAATAAAAACGGGGTAATTGAAGGAATTATCTTTTGTAAAAGATTTCAAAATAACGGGATTCTTTGATTATGATCATAATGTCACATCAAGTTTACTAAGCGTCCTTAAAAGTCTATTTAAGAAGGCTTGCTTCCAAGTCTTTGTTGTTAAATTTTTTTATCGGAGTGAGTCCATTTGACGGCTAAAACACGTGTCCGTGTTTATTGAATATAACTTCTATCGATCAACCAGCCAGCTCGCAACTAAAAAATCATAAAAATTCATGGAAAACATCGCGACGGCTTATATATCTTCTATTCCCCTTCAAATGATATACAAAATCGCATACGTGACATAAATTGAATGATTGATCCATCCGCGAAGATCTATTTGTCCGACTTTTTATCAGAAACTGAAACGAAATTCTCAGACGCCGAAGCATACGCTAGGTAGGTGTTGGTTACAAAAGATGATTGGTACAATTTTATGCACGACACGGCAATCGATAATTTGAATACGTTGAACTATAAAATGGAAACGTGGTGAAATGGTACATATACGTACTTTGATACATATTAAAGGGCATAGCGATGAAAGTGTTAGTAAAGCATCGGCCTATCAAATTCGTAAAACTGCCAAACGCCGAGAAACAAGCAGATCGACGCTCAAGACACTCTGTGATGTGAATTTTTTCAAATGAATGATACTCGATCTAATTTCAAAAAATATTTAAATTTTTTAGGGTCACTATACATACTAGCTTGTGCTCTGTATTACAGATATTTTTTATTCTTCCTTTGTTAAGATACTGAATTATATCAAATTTTTTTATAATATATTGTAGATATCTATAAGCTATATAGAATCTTCATTTGGCGTCTGGTATGGGTATATCGAGATGAATTCTACATCAACAGGCACAGTACTGTACGTCACATCAATAATTTGCGTATCGTTATTCTACGAAATTCTACGCATTAAAGTAGCACCGGCATTGTTTAATTCGTATACAAGAATTTATTATGAACGTTTATCATCCGCGAAGAAACTGACCTGGGGAATGAGGTGCATTTCAAAGTATTTATTTGTTCGTGTTAATTATCATAGTTGAGGGTAGTCCAGTAATTACATGGATTGGTACATGGCTATAATGGCATTATACTTTTATTTAGATTTGCTTCGATATCTAACAGTATCATTGTCGTTTCCCTGACCGTGATTTCACTGAATAATCCTGGAGTTTGGGGCAACCCCTTTCAGTGAGTACGTTACTTTATTTATTGAGCGGATTGACCATTGTTTGTTGTGCACGGTATCCGCTGATGCATGGGCAATAAAATAATATATAAACGTACACAACCGTAACAAACTTACAAACTCAAATTGAACCTCTAATTCTAAGTTACTTTTTTTCAGAAATGGGTGGGCTCATGTATCAATATGTTACTGTTTCGAATAACGGTGCCTTTGTGTGCGTATATGATGTTAAGAAATCCATTGTTTGTCACGTTTCTAGTTTATGTTTTATCTAAATTGTTCATTGTTGATCATTTTATTCGGATTATTCAAAATAACCATTTGTCTAGCGTTTTTTCAACTTTATTTGCTGCTGGATCGGTGATTTGCCAGATATAAGAGTGGGGTTGGTAACGTGATATATGTATGGCACGTTACCAGTCCTATCGAGATTTAATGCCTCATCACATTTCCACGATAATTCATCGACATTTTAATATTTTTTTAGCAACGTATTTTGTTTTTTCGTTGTAATAATAATATTAATATCTGTTGAATACATAATTTGTGACTTGAATAGCATCGTCGATCACCAACATTAGGCTACATTTATCTGGAATATTTATACTTTGTAAAATATCTGATCTTTAAATATTTTTCTTTATAAATTCATAGATCTTGTTTGTCTAAATTTTAAAACTTGTTACTATGCATTCTGCTAATATTTACAATTTAGTTGGGCTCAGTTTTCAGTAGCTTCAAAAACAAATTTGCTCGAAACAAGGGTATTCGTACTCACTCAAAAGAAAAGACGGTGATTTCTTGAGCAAAGTTTAAACCACAGAAATGTCAAGGGATATCTACTTCATATTTAGACAGCGATGACTTGAACTGTAATATATCTAGCTTAACGTCTACCACTGACGTATTCGAATGTGTATTGCTTCTAAAATGTCAGGGGTCATGTTCCACTGGTTCTTTTTTAACAATTTGCATCGCAACTTGATTCAAGCAAACTTGTATATATTTTGAAACAATTTTCGCACATACAAAATATATAACTTTTGTGCATACTAAATCGCCATTTTCTACTATAAAAATAAACATTTTAATATTAAGATTCCTTTGTCCTTAAAATAAGATCGCCACAGGCGCTATAATACTATTCAACGTCTATTACGAATGAATTCTAAATAAGAACTATTCGTTTCCACAGAGCTCATCCTTGGTCGGTTCAAGCGAGTGTTTCCATCACAGCCGGATACTTTGTTGCAGGTGTACTTATATTTCTTTAAACTTGTTTTAATTTTCTAAGTTATGCTACAAACTAAATACCATAGACATGTTCATTTTACTTTTAAATTATTGTTTAGATATGACATGGATGTTGCGGTATCCCGTGGAAGCAGGAGCACATTACTCGTATAAGTTTCATCACTTGTTTTCTTTACTCGGATTTTACACTGTTCTGGTAACATGCAAGCTATCATGATGATGTAGGACTGTAGGTAGAAAATCTAGTCAAAGTGTTTACGCAATATGTCAGTGTATAATGTTTCGGAATTGATTGAATGAATTAGCTTATTTATGAGTAGCGAATTTAAATGAAAAATCGTCAACTTATAGAGTAATTCTAATGTGTTTATAAAATATTGGAGAAATATGATCGGATCGCCTTTTGTAATATATGCGCATACATTATTTTGATGTGTCGCTGTTCTGCTGTCTCAGGAGTGTTTTATTTTCAGAGCTATCCTATGTTGGGTCACCTGGTGTCGATTCGATTGCTGTCTGAGTTATCTCAACCATACACTCACTTCAGGTAGGTTGTCAAATTTATTTTATACCGAAGTTTATTTGCAACCTTAACACAAATCAATGCATAAAGTTGCATCTTCACCTGACAATTAAATAATTTCGACATTTGCGTTATATATATACTACTTCAAATTGTAATTAATTAGCCAATTCCCTAAGCGTTTGAAGACCATTATAGCTACTTATACGTCAAATACAAATAAACGGTTTGCTAACCTCATTTATAACTTTATATATACTCACATTTACCCTGGTTATCCGATACTTTTGCAGGGATTTTTACAAGGAAATCAACATCAAGCTACCTCCTTTGTATGTTTTGAACTCAATTTGCTTCACGATGACTTTTACTTTTACTCGAATTTTTTCTCAATTACTATTCTATACAAAGCTGTGGGAAGTATTTGGTGATAACGAGTTTTACAGGTCGGTTTGTGTCCAAATGTCCAATTACAACAACTGTTGGCATGCGTCACTACAAATATGTTTAATTAACTTATACGGATTGAAGTTTGGCACACTGATTACCTGGTGTGACTTTAAAAGAACAAATTCTCATCCTTATTTATTTTTGTTCACACAACAGAATGAAGATGTTATTTATTAAATGCTTCTACTATTCATCTTATCATTTACTGCGCACTGATATATATTTGTTAAAAATTTCAGAGTTCCAATGCATATTCACGTAATGTGGCTTTCTGCAGGTGCATTTCTTGACATTCTCAATATGTACTGGTATACATTAGTAGTACGTGGAATGTGGAAAATTCTGATGGAATATCACAACAAAACAAGCTGAACTAAAACATTAACAAAAGTGATGATTCACATTAGTGTTGTGGAATATCCTTGAATAAAAATGATTGAAAGTTTCATCATGCACTGGCCTAATGTTTCTTTTTTAGTAGGTTAACTGTTACAATGTCACATTGCTTTAGGACTTAATAACAAAATTATAATCTTCGCAGTATAGTCAATAGCAAATATATGAATTACAACCTATAGGCGTCTAGCAATCTTTTGCATATAACGGCATCTCCAGCTTCACCATCAAAATTTATCTCGTTGCCAAGAGACATTTTTCCAGAATTAAAGTTTGGTAGGATTGTGTGAAAAGAATTGCTTTCAAAATGCTTTATTAGGATAATTAGAGTTTCACATTTCATGCATTTTTTTTCGTCTAGCAATGTTTGTTATACTCAAAAACTAATGAGATCGAAACAGTCGATCAATATATATTTTAAAATCTATCACAAATTCGAGCAGCCCTATTCAACATAGGTTTCGTTTGGCACGAAATGCAAAGCTTCCACAAATGTAAAGTACGATTACTTTGGTCCTACAAAATGTTATCAATAATGTGCTCTTATATTAACTTCTAGAAACTGACACCTACGCTGATTTTCAAACTAATATCTTTCTTCTTAGTATCGGCAAACTCAATAATACCAAAAAGTCCAAAACTTAATTTCCGCTAAGGCGCGCTAATGAGCTTCTTTCATCGAATGTAGGCTTATCATTGTTTGCGCCGCTGTCTCATTTTTAAATTTATTTGTGCTTCTATCGCAATATAACTTTAACACAATTTTTATATCAAATCATCAAAAACGTTGAAGTTCAAATTGATTTTAAATGAAAACGAATATTATAATTTGGTCTTTATCTGTAGAACTCAAGTCACAATATAACTCTTGTTAGATTTGAATCACATCATTTAAAAATAGTTGACTAACCAAAAAATGGATGAAACCCATGTTGCAGAACACATTGTCAAGCGCAGTTGTGCAGGTTCAATTGCCCCCAGTATGGCTATAACAGAGCTTTTCTTAGCGGATAGGCGAGAGAAACGGACGTATGAAGATATCAAGCATGTGCTCATAGCCCAATTTTATAATTGTATCAACAAAATTTAACACTTCAATTTTAATAAAAAAAAAATCAGAAAAAAATGCGTAATTCATTCTTATTTATTAATCATTAATGTTCAATTTATCAGTAATAAGCGATGCCCACCCATCTCTCGCTACTAGAAACGGGTATTATGACTTCGGTTCTCATTACAGCCTTGAGTATTTTTGAGTTTTTCTAAATTAAACTGACTATCTAATATACATAGATGGTTAGCGTATTTATCTCGCATGTAGCTAAAATTTCGTACTCCATGAAATGCAAAAATAAAATCTTCGAACACTTTACACACTCGGGGCATCTAAACAAGGAGATGACTAATACCTCGATTAACTGGAATATCAGTATACTGAAATAACAACTGTAGCCTATATGCCACACACAAATGAATAAGATATTCTGGTAAGTGATTATATTTTATAGTTATGTTTGGTCAAACCTCCAAACGAAATATACCTAAGGATTGAAAACATATGTTGATGTATGAATGTTTTGATACTCGAGAGATCGCCCTTCCCACGTGATGTTCAATATGGTTGAAGGTGCAGCAATCTTATAGTTTTTCTTTCGGTTACCTATTTTTCGCACCTTTGACGAAAAAACGAGACAAATTTAAAATAGTCGTCCTCACATAACTTGAAACCGCAGAAACATCAACATGAAACATGATATTTTAAACATTGAACTTCACGACGGGATTCCTCGGACCCAAAAATATTTAATAAATACATGCTAGAATTTTGATGCTTCAATTAAAAAAAGTCCGAAATATAATAAATTGAATTGTTGTGACCGGAAAAGTATTAGGTTCTGAGAAGCAAACCAAATGATAAACGTTTTATACATCTACGTATAACAAGATTAAATATATATTGCGATATATTCAGTCATATTGATTGAGAAAATTTAAAATACTGAAGAGTAAAAATAAAACACCCCCCACTCATATCAATCAATTTTAATTTGAAAACTGAAACCAAGTTTAAACATTATCTCCAATTTTATAATCATGGATAGAAAACCCAACTTTTAATATACATTCATCCAGCGGTTGCCAAACCTTTTAATCGTGAGGCGGCAAGTTATCAGGAAAAAAACTGAAAGGCTTACATAAAAAAATTGCTGCTTTTGAATAAAACTAAATTTCGATACAAGGAAACGAAATTATAATTTGGTCTTAATTTGAACTAAAATCGCAATATAACTCTTATCAGATTTCAATCACGTTATTTAAAAATAGCTGACTAACCAAAGAATGGATAAAACCCATGCTGCAGAACAAAAAAACGCATCAGCTTGTCGAGCGAAGTTGCGCAGGTTCAATTCCCCTCCTCCCAGTCCACTAGAGTTTTTCTAAACGGAGAGGCGAGAGAAACGGACGTATGAAAATAACCAATATGTGTTCATAGCCTAATTTTATTATTGTATTCACAAAATTCAACACCCCAATTTTAATAAAGATGAATCACGAAAAATGCGTAATTTATCATTGATAATCATTAATGTTTAATTTATCAGTAAATGGGCGGTGCCCATCCATCTATCGCGACTAGAAACGACTTTGGTGGTTAGCGTACTTGTCTCGCTTGTAACTAAAATTTCGTTTTTCATGAAATTAAAAAATAAAATCTTCAAATAAAAAATTACCACAATATACACTCGGGGCATCTAAACAAGAAGATGACTGATATCTTGACGATATTACGATACTAGTCAACTGCAATAGCAATTGTAGCCAGTATGCCACACATAAATGAATAAGAGATTTTGATAGGGGATTATATGTCATAATTATGTTTGCTCAAACTTAACGAATATCATAAATACAACTGAGGAACGTAAACATATGTTGATGTATGAATACTCTGATATTCAAGAGAAAGCCATCTCCACGTGATGTTTAATATGGTTGAAAGTACAGCAATCTTATTGTTTTCTGTCGGCTGCTAATTGTTCGCGTCCTTGACTAAAAAATGGAACAAATTTAAAATAATCGCTTTTACATAACCTGAAACCGCAGAAACATCATGATATTTTAAACAATGAATTTCAGCGACAAGATTTATCTGACCGAAAATATTTAATATATTATATACATGATAGAATTTTGATGCTTCGATTGAAAAAAGTTTTAAATAATCACAGTCATATATATTCAATACTTGGTGAAATATTTTAGTCTGTTAACCTTTTTTGCAGATGCTCTGAATTGTCAGTGATTTAGTTTGTTGTACAAAATATATTCTGCATTTATTTGATTTCTTCGGGGTAAGATAGGACACGATTGCCGAGTGGTAATTGACGTGTTTTTTGGAAGAGGATGCTCTAAAAAGGATATTAGTCATTATTCTCAAAATTATCGTTTATCTGCATCATAGTGACCGATTCTGTGTAAAGCAGTGGGTACTCCAGAAGTATGTGAATCAAGCTGGCGGAATCCGGAACGTATGGTATGTGTACCAGGTTAGGGTTAGGCCATAACTTTATTCCAATATTCCCTTTTTTAGTTCTATTACAAGTCCAGGGACAAAACAAGTGAATCCCGTAATATTTGTAACTGAAATTATGGCCTAACCCTAACCTGGTACACATACTACGTTTCGGTGTCCGCTATTTTGGTTCACATACCTCGGCAGTACCAGGCAGTGTGGGGTAAAGACGTGAACGGCTTCAAAGAATAACGACAAAGTTTAATTAAACATAAAATACAATTAGTAACACAAACGCTGTTTCTTATTATTGTTGTCTTTTTAGCGTATATTTGATAAAAATTGAAGGAAAATGTTGTTCACGAAGTTGCTCAAAGTTTGTTTTGTAATTTGGCTGTTGATGGTGTCTGCTTCAGCTTACAAGAAGAAGAATAAAAAATATCATCAAAAGAGATATGGCATCCGAGAAAATGAAAGTATGAAGTAGTTGTGTACATACCAATAAAATATACATATATATACAGGGTGGCTCAAAAGTAGGTATACAGTTACTTAAATTATTATACAGTAAAATAGTTTAATAACTGTATACCTACTTTTGGGTCACCCATATGCTATGAGCCCTCATTTGTTTGTTCTAACATCATTCAGTTTTGAATCAAATCCTCTGATTATCGATCTATCGTTCAATAGCAAAACACCGTAAAAGAAGAAAACAATTACTTTCGAATTCTTAGTAGTGTGCATTCCTAACTTCGTGTACTCTAAAATGTTTGATCATTAAAAAAAATATACAATCAGACGTATGTATACCTGTGTTGAATTTTTTTTTTCAGTATTTTAGTAGTGCCCATAGTGAAATGACATCATCAACAGCAACTCGAAATTTACCCAAATTTAAATCATATTTGTTACAAACCATAATTTTTCTCAGATTACTATCTATTATTTTGTGACCCCTAAGTAGCTTAAACGAGAATTAAAATGAAGAGAAGCATATAAATAGTTGATAATATTGATGAATGAAAAAGTATGACCAAATTTTTTTTGGCTTCATGTGAGATTGCACTAGCAGCGGTTCCTAATTTCTGTTCAACTTGTTGTCAAATCGAAATTTCTTTCTCATATTATTATCTAATATTTGATCATATTTTTAGAAATTTGATTTGTAAAATTGAATTCTGATTGGTACTTTCGTGATTGGTAATTTCGAAAGAATTATTTAGCTTTTTACTATATTTATTTGAATAGGGGTAAATTTTGTGATTCTGTTGATGATGTCACTATAACGGTACAAGCATGCTTGCATTGACAGTATTTCACGCATTCGCATAAGTACTTTGCATTTTAATAATATTTTCCTTTTCAGATATTTCGTAAAGAACACTACTGAAGATCGTTGTTTCCAAAGCTTTATTGAATTTATTCAGTTAAATCTTGTTATATGTGTGGTAAATACACTATACACAATATACGGTGTTTTGAATTGTATTGACTGGGAAAGAATTCTGAGATGCTAACCATATATAATAATATTAAAGTCAATCATCGAGAATTTCTACAGATTGACTTATACGGATAGTAGATAGTATCATATCCCTCTGTACTTTACCCTCCCATCCTATACGATATTGAATATGGTCAATGATTTTAAAATTACAATTTGTTCAAATAATTTTTGGGTATATTACACGAGAAACAACTAGAAAAAGGCAAATTCACCTGGAACTTGATTCACACAAACAACTACAGGCCTCAATACTTATTCACGTACTATCGGAAACCAAATTGCATCAAGTAATAGTAGATAAATACCAATTTGTTCACATGACAAAACGTTTAATA